CCCCTTCCTCCCTCCCCGCTCCACACTCTCCCTCCCAGACATTCCGTGTCTCTGGAGCGCCCCCTGTGGGCCCGTCCTGGGAGGTGGCGCAGCGCCCGGGACGGTGGGGAGGGGAGTCCAGGCGGCTGCTCCGGGCCAGCTGGGGGCCGGAGGGGGGGCAACAGGACACATTCCGCAGTGAGTCCCGGCCTGGCCGGCGGGTCCCCCTCGGGTGCCACGAACCGTGACTGTTCTCGGAGATCTAATCGCGGACGCGCCGTGTGTCCTTGTGCCTGCAGCTTTGACCCCCCTGGTCCCATGTCGGCCGGTATGTCCTGCGAAGTGCTTGTCACCTTCAAGCCCATGGTGAGTGTCTCAGCCCAGGGCCAGAGGGCGTCTCAGCCCCGTCGGGAGAGGGCGGGGGCGGCTCGTGTCCCCCTGCTCGGGGCTCCCCGACGGACCTCGTGGGGCTGGATGGACGCTCGGCCTCCGTGGGGCCCGCGCAGGGCCCGTTCGCTGTTTTACTTATAAACGTGCTCCACGCAGGCCCCCAGGCGCCGGCTGTCCCGGCTCCCCCGTGAACAGGCGTGACCCGTGTGCTCCCGGGCCTGAACGTCTGTGCTGAGACGTCCCTCGGGCCCTGGCCAGGGTGCGCCCCAGGGGCCTGGGCCCGGCTGTGCTTGTCGGACGTCACACGTGTCGCCGGGAAAGTCACAGACGTTCATGCTGGTCGGGTTTTATTTTTTCAGATCGAAAAAGACCTGGAAGGAAATATCTCGTTTCTGGCTCAGACGGGCAGGTTTTCGGTCCCACTGAAGTGCTCCACAAAGCAGTGCTCCGTAAGTCCGGGGGCCTGAGCTGGGGTTTCGGGGTGTCCTGGAGCTGGGGGCCTGAGCTGGGGTTTCGGGGTGTCCTGGAGCTGGGGGTAGGAGGGACCGTGGCTCCATCGCCGCCTCCAGCAGCCCAGCAGCAGCTCCGGTGGGGCTCCCACCGCCGCCTGCAGGCGACAGGTCCACGGGGCCCCCTGAGAGACGCATCCTGTCCGGGCTGGACATGCCCTGCTGGGCGGAGCCCCGACTGCAGGCCCCCGGCCCCGGCCCCGAGGGTCAGCGGAGGCCTCGGGGCTCTCGGAGGGAGTCCGGGCCTCTCTGCAGCTCCGGGGCGTCCCCTCCACTCTTTTAAACTGTGGTCCCCGCACCGGCCGACACAGCCCCAGACGCCTTCACCTTACAGCTGGAAGTTTGCACTTTTGACCCCTTTCGCCCCCCTTGCCGTCCCTTCACACAACCACCAGCCTGTCCTGTGGATTCCGCTGCTTTCGGTTCCCCGCAACGCGAGGCGGCATTTGTGGGCCCGACGCCCCTCGCTGCGGGACCCTGCCCCCGGGGGACGGCGCGGCGAGGACGTGGCCTGCTGTCTACGCTAGTGGGGCCCGCGACACCCCTGACGATGACGCAGGTGGGCCCGGCCGTCCCCCCGCCGCCTCTGCTCGTGTGGTTTCTGAGCTGGGATCCATCAGGGTCACGCACGGTGTTCGGTTATCGTTTCCGTCTCCCTCTCCCCGTTTCACGCTGTTCTTGCTGCAAAACACAGGGCGGCCGTCCCCCGTCCGCTCGGGCCTCTGCGGAAACTCTGTCCCCGGTGGACACTCACCTCCCCGCTCCCCCAGCCCCTGGCCCCACACCTACGTCCCGCCTCCCGAGCCCCCCCAAGCACCTTGTGTAAGTGGCGTCACCGGTGTCTTCCTGCGACTGGCCGGCTCCACCCGGCAGCGTGTCCTCAGGGTCCCTCCGTGTTGCATTGCGGCAAACGACAGGCCTCCCTCCCTCCTTC